CTTGAAAAAAAAAAAAAAAAAAAAAAAAAAAACCTCCTTTTCCAGGGACCCCGGGATTTGAACCGGGGTCCCCTGGCCTGGCAGCCAGCAAGCTAACCACCAGGCCACAGGCCTCTTGATAGATAAGATTTCGGAACTTATATTTAAAGGTTAGGATTGCGCAATTTCAAAAAAGGTCAAAGGGCACAACTTATCTGCATGTATATAAATAACAAAAGCAGAAATTTGAATATGCCAAAAGCCAGAATAGACAAAATATTCAGACCATGCATATACTTCAGTATGTTGTAGGTCCACAATATATTTGCAAGCTTCATTTTTTTTCTCGAAATATCCATATGTACATGTAAAGTTATGTTTGTCACAAAAAATTCAACTGTTGGTGGAACATCAGAGATTGAGATTCTGCAAAGACTGAAATTTCAGGGCGTCTGAATTTTTAACTTTTTTGGGCCATTAGAAAGTTTGGTAGTAAGCCTCTAAGTCTATCTTGCTATATACGTTCAAGGAACATGGTGGGCAATACAAGTACTTGCTTATTTTGAATAAGAAGTTCCTACAATCTGACGAAAATTATGCAAAAAATCTCAAAAATTCAGGAAAAAATGAAAAGCAGTAAAAATGGTACATCAGTTACTTTCTCCAGATTTCTCAAGAATTTATGAGTCCTATTTCACAGCTTAAAAAACGAACAATAGTGATTACTTTGTGCAATCATGAACAGTACGTATGATGGACATTTTGAAATGTCTCCACTTGAGTGAACACTTTGTCTAATGCTTTGTAATTTTTATTTACTCAGATGTGACTTTTTTTCTAGCAAAAGTAACTTAAAACATGCTTGATTTCTTTTTCAATAGACTAAAATACACCCTGAAAAGCAGTTCTAAAAATATGGATTTGTTGTGTAAAATGAAGTTGTGCATGTTCAACGTTAACTTAAACATCTACTCGTATTCCCTATTCCAGAAAGCCTACAACTGTCCCAAACAAGACAAAAAGCCTTAAACCATGTTTACCATCAGAAGATAGTCTGTACACATTTTTTCTGCAAATCTAATCTTTAAGCATTGTAGCATCTGGTTTGTGCTGTCAAGGTTTGTCAATTGAAGCCACGGCAAATAACACGGCAGACAGGAACCACTTCTGCCTACAGGAACAAGAAAAAAACGAGAGTGTTTCAAGACGTTACACACATTGACTTCATGTAGGACAGTGGACGATTGGTCATTGCCAAATTTAACTAACAGTATTTAGCAGGCTACAAGTAGACAGCGCCCTCTGTCCTACGTAATCAAGCCAGTAAAGATCATCAGATTATCACAAAATTCAAACTATATTTGGCAGTCTGGTGAATAGCGTGCACATCTAAAATCACAACCTATGCCCCCAGCTGGCTGAGTTCAATCCAAAGGTGTCGTCCTTTTTCATCCAAGAATATAAACAATGTTTTGGGTTTTTAAAAAATTGACTCCAACATTTCATAACAGAGTGTAACATTTTCATGTTGTTATTTGTGGCTCTGGAGGATTTTTTAGGGCAAGAAAACCGAATTTATGAGACGTCGCAATGATTTTGTGAAAGAAGACCCAGTCAAAGTATGATTTTTTATGGTGGGGAAAAAAGTTACTGTGTATGTGTCAGGCAAAATATTGTTTAGTAAACTTTGCCAACAACGGCTAAATATCCAATGTTATTACATTAGACTGAGAAAACTGACAGACAAGATTAAGGAATAGCTTAAATTTTTTCAAGAAAGTGCTGTTGTTTTTGCAGTTAAGTTTTTTACACTCCAACCTCGTTAAAGGGTAGCTGCAATCAATTCCTTTTAATACCAACCTTCAAAATGCACCTTTTTGCATCAGTTCATTTTCTTTTCAAGTTTAATTTCACAATTTCTAAGGGTATTTTACAACCTTTTTAGGTTTTTATGCAAATGATGAATATCTCCATGTTAATGAGCAAAACTGTGATGTCATCCAAGGATGAAAGCCTCAATTGCTTTGTACACAAATCCTGCAGTTTTGTAGATTTTACTTGACTCAGTTTTCACTTCTATATTGATTTATTGTTGTTTATGTGCATAGCAACAAGAAAGCATGAATACCTCCCTCAGAAATGTTTTCAATGAGTACACTCTGCATTCACAATTTGAAGCACCTACATGTATAAACACATGTATTCCGTAGACGATTTCAACTTGAGCAACAGCTCCCTCACAGTTGTCATGGAAAGCATGAATAGTTTTAACTATTTAAAAACAAGTTGTTTTCAACACATTTGATAAAATGGGATTGCAAAGGGGATTTTGCACAATTAAAGAAGATACACAGTTGAAACTTTGTTTAAGAAAAATACATCACAGCTATGCATTTTCAATAAGAGGTCCTTGGGACTTTACTGATTACCGATTGTATTATCAGGAGAGATATCAATAGAGAACAAAGCATGGGGACCTAAAAATTCCCTTGTTATATTAAAGTAGAATGTTATTTTAACTGTGTTCTCATGACTGAGGTTTGATTTTATTTGTCTGAACCCTAACAGAGTCGGGGAGGGGGAGGAATTAGAATCTGCCCCTCCTTATGCTCCAATCTCTTCATAGTGCATTTTTACACACTAAGCCTTCAGGAAATTTTCTAGTAATATCTTCCAGTCATTTTGATCCCAATTTGGTGAAAATCAGACATATTCCTTTCTTGTGCTGCACCTACTTTGTCAAGAGAGCTCATCAGCCAAAAATGTCAACTTTCCCTACTGATACGCATGCAAGCCAACACAAACGTAGCCCTCAAATGACAGGAACAAAAAGGCCATACATCAGATGGAATTGACACTTCCCCTCTGTGCTGATAATGAGTGTGTCTATACGCATGTCAGGTCTAAAAAAGATTGGGCAGAGGAAAGCCGAGTTCCAAATGGGGAGTGGGGATGAAATGGTCTGCAAAAAATGTTCTATGAAATTGTCTGGAAAAAAAACCAGCTATTCCAGGGATAAATAATTAGTTTTCAATTGCCAAATTTCAAAAGATTTTCTTTGCTTGCGAATTCAGTGTTACTCATTTCTCTGAACTCAAAAGTGAAAGAATCTATCACTACTTACCCACACATCATCAAGAAAACTGATTCTTCAAGATGGCAGACCACTGTAATTGCAGCACTGAAAGAAAGAAGTGAATAACAAGTTTGGTAAAATCTACAGCAATTGGATACGTTTGATGTTTGTAAATAACTCCAGAAACACGACACGTGGCTCAAACAAAAATCTTCAAATTTATCCTGAACCCTGCCGTGTGTGACTACCATGCATGATATTTATACTGAGGCTAGAATTAGGATTAGTCTCTCAATCCTGGATGGTGTCAGGCTACCGGTAGATCAAGTCCACCTGCTTCTTTTGTTGCTAAAGCCAGAGCTAGGATTGGTCGCTCAAACCTGGATGGTGTAAGGCTCGAGTTAAACTCAAGCCTGGTAAGAGGCTCAAGAACTAGGACGGGTCACTCAAGCCTGGATGGTTTGAGGCTCAAGTCCATCTGTTGATTTATATTGCTGAGAGTAGAGATGGATTGGTCACTCAATCCTGAATAGTTTAAGTCTCAAGTTGACTCAAACCTGTATACCAGGCAAGATATGGGACGGAGGGGTACCCCCCTTACCTGTCCAGTCCCTATACACACTGTAGACTATCGTGTTACCTAACATATCCCCCTAGAAGTCTGTAAAGAATTCCTGAGATTCCGATTAAACAATTGTAGAGATGCCCCATTTGGTTCCCCATTGTTGCTTAATTGTTTGTTTAATCCCTAAGTGTAGTCGGCAGGATGATAGGTAGTTGGGATGATGGGGAGTTGGGATGATGGGGAGTTGGGATGATGGGGAGTTGGGATGACGGGGAGTTGGGATGACGGGGAGTTGGGATGACGGGGAGTTGGGATGATGGGGAGTTGGGATGACGGGGAGTTGGGATGACGGGGAGTTGGGATGACGGGGAGTGGGGATG